ACTCGGGGGAGAAAGCGTTGCGTGACGACATTGAAAGCGGCTGTGGGGGAGACTAGGAAAACCAGAAGAACCAGGAGAACCAGGAAAACCAGAAGAACCAGGAGAACCAGAAGAACCAGAAGAACCAGGAGAACCAGAAGAACCAGGACAACCAGGGGAACCAGGACAGAAGGACCACACGATCACGTTATAGATCGCATATATATAACATCACATAGCACGTAGGCATTTTGTCTGCGCATGCGTGCAAATATAAGTTTTAATAGAAAAACTGCTGAATTGAGCCTGCAGAGATTGCCCAAGATGGCGGAATATTTTCTGTCTAACAGCGCTTGTTTACTAGTTTTTGTGTCATTTGGAGATTATTTAAAACGCTATCGAATGGATATTTTATTGCCTTATGAAAAAGGTTGTCGCTAAGTCGTTATTTTACTCTTTATCTTAATAAAATCAAGTAGAAATTTCAACGTTGGGAACGAGAGATTAGTGTTGAAAGGCGCTAAAATAGATAGAGGTAAGGGAGGTAACTCGGTTAATTCTTTCTTAGTGACAAGATTGATGGTTAATTCCTAAATTAAATTAACCTACAATCACCGCGTTGGGGTAGAGTCGTGAATAATTAATATTTCACTGTACAAGTACTGTACTTGTTTTCGTCTTGCAAGCATATTTGAAAGTGGTTACAATCATAGAAAATTCTCTAACTGGTAAAATTTCCTTTTTTACTCATGTTTCATGGTTAGACTGACTTAATATATAAGAGAAAGAAAAGGCACAATAAAGTATATATGCACTTGCCGTAAATCCTCTATTAAGCATCCCCTCTCGAATAACCCCTCCCTTTCTAATAAGTACCCCCCTTTCTAAAGGAAGAAATTTTTAAAACCAAACCGTCCCAATTAAAAAAACAGGTATACTGATTAAATGTGATTTATTAAAATCTTGATAGTTCACCAACATGTTAAATCACACTAATTTGGTCCTTATTTTCGGTTGCATGACCTTCCCACTTCAGTTTTTCCCACTCTGCACTCTAGTTCCTTGTGAATTTAACAAATCGAAGTCAGGTTTCTATGGGTCTGTACTGCAATCGAACATGGTGAAATGACAAACCTGACAGCTTAGAACCTACTGCATTTGGGCTAAATCAATACTTAGACCCCCCCCCCCTCTCCAATGAGCCAATAAGCCCCTATCAAACTACCTGAAACAAATAAGCTCCCCCTCCCAGCTTAATTTAATAGAGGATTTACATATGAAGTAAAAGAAATCTTTAGTTTTGTTCATTTCATAACCATGATCATGCATGAACAACCTGTGCTGAAAATTAACAGAACAGTATATAATCAAATTAATTGTATCACCATCCACGAAAAAAGTCATGAGATACCCATCTAAATTAATCCTAATGATGCTGTCATCCCAAGATTAAGAAATAAATTTGGTCAGTTGTGGACATCTATATATATAGTGATATACACTATATACTATAGTGATTGTCATAGGATTGGACCAGTACATCAATACAACAGTGCAGCTTGTCGGTTTAATTAAATTTATAATATAGTCAAGTAAATCCGCGCGATCTGATTGGTTGAAAAGCATGAACCATTTGCCCATGGGTTGCACGCTCACGTCAGCTTTTTTAGCTTCGGCG